CATCGGGCTCTAGTGCATCGCCGATATCGAAGTGAACTCGACGGTTGCTGATTGCACCAGTGGACGCATCGAAGTCAAAGGCAAAGATCTTGCCTGTTGGCGAATCAGTCAGGTACATCACGTCGTCGGTTAGGTTCCACCCAATCCCGTTAGGGATCGTCACCGGTGCCAACATGTGGTGCACTGTCTGATCTGGGTCTAGTCTGAATAGAACGCCCTCTGCTTGTGGATTCTTGATTTTCGGGTCGTTCATTGCTCCGGCCCAAAATCGGCCGTGGCTATCCACTGCGCCATCATTGAAACGCATCCTATAAATTGGGGGGTTAGTCAGCGTTCTTAGACACGTAGCTATGTCTTTTTTTTTTTTTTTTGCTTATGCTTACCTCTCGGCCTTCTCTCCATCCTCTCCCCAAAACTTATGGGTATCATGGATATAGGAGAGCTTCCCGGTGGTTTGGTCCAATCGAGCAAATCCATATTTGGCCCCAACAATTAGCTGATTGGGGTTGTTGGTAATATTAGCGGTCACGCTAAAAGTCCACGTGGTACCCCGTCAGCAAAATAATTTAATCTCGGGAATTGACAACCCACCCAACAGAGGCATCGGTATCAATGACTTTCAATGAGTCAGGGCCCTTTGCCAGATCGAGCCGATAGAGTTTCTGGTCCCAGATATCCACAAACCGGAACTCATTCTTGGCCGCATCGTAGAAGGGGCCTTCGAGGAGTGTTCCTGGAATGTCAAGGTACGGCTGATCGAGTTAGCTACGATTGGCCTTTTCTTTTTTTCTCTTTTTTTTTTCCTGTGCTCTGACAGGCTTGGAACAAAATATATCGTCACATTTGACCGACACGAGAACCAGGGGAGTTTAAAAAAAACAAATAAACAAGCAGCGAATCAGGAGATGTAGAATAACATGGAATACTAACCTCAGTGACCGTCCACCTCTGAATTTCAGACATGCCGATCGGTGATGGAGTGGACACCGCTATTTGGGAAGAGGGGTGAGAGAGATGTTAGGCTTGAAACGGTTGAAACCTGTTCAAGTTGGATTCTAGCCGATCACAGGTAAATTGTCGGAGGTCACTGCTCCATATATTGTCCACAGATTTATATTGAAGAGGGACTTACGGTGTCAAAAGGTGAGGAGATGCCAAGCCACCCCCACGAGGGCTTACTATCCCACTTTGGGGTACCTTTATGTACCATGTACCTTTGTAACCTGGTGTTCGCTTTTTTTTTTTGCGAACTCGTAGAACAAGAACTACAAGGATTTAAATTTCATTCGGCAATTGAAAAAAAAAAAGGCTCTCCAATCCCATGCGCTATTGAATTTCCTGCAGGAATCCCGTGCCTGCAATGCGAATCATCACATAGTCGAGTTCGAAATCCACATGAACTACGGAGCCCTCCGTACGGAGGTGCTCCGTATAAACTTTCGACTCTGTATCAATTCGTGCAGCTAACAGCAAACTATAGATTTCAGGCCCAACCAAGTCAATTCAAATAAAGAATATGTACACCAAAGGATCACCTTCCAAGGGTGGCTTTTCACATGACCGACTCTGCATGCAGATGCAAGAGATTCCTGGTGGGCGCTAAGACCTTGAACCTGGAACCTAGACTTACTCTTGACTACCAATCCCGGAGTTCGAACAGTCCGATTTTTCTGCCTGACTCGAAAATCGGGCGCCAATACGGAGTAAAAATAAAGACTTTGCCATTTTGCTACGCATGTGTGAGAATGTGCCTGCAGCCGACTTGCATCACCTAGATTAAGTGATGGATCATGCACGAATATATGGAGTGGGAGACTGTGTTGGATGTGGATAAATCTGCCTTTCCAAGACAAAGATAATCAGAGACATGTAATAGGAAAAATAATCTAGCCTGAAACTACCTAGGTATGAACATGTTTCGCGGCTAGCCAATAAGCTTCAACGGCACAGCTCAATGCTCAAATGCACCCTCCCCCATATGGTATTGGTAAGGCTTGCATGCAGATAAGGCCTGCAGTCATCGTAGCTGTGGAGAGAAGAAGTTGGGCATCAATTGTGTTCGGGTGCAGTTTAACCCGAATTTACGGTGATGGACGTAGAACCTGAGTTGGGTTTTTTTCGTTCACTTTTTTTTTGGCGTATGGGACAATTTTCAATTGGCGGGGATATCATTGACCGTCACATCACCGCAGCAAGGCCTGATCTACCATTGCAAGTGACTTGACCTGGACTGCGCCCCCACTGGAGAGTTTGAGGCCGTTTTTCTTTTTTTTCCCTTTTTTGCGGTCTTCGTGGATGTGGAGACCTGAGCGAGAGCGAGAAGTGGAGGCGATGCATCGAGGTGATCATTGGCAAATTTGGATCTATAGGTGAAACGGCAAGGACAAGTACAACATAGGAGCAAGAACAAATACATATACAATGTTTGTAGTGGTTTGCAGAGATGAGGTGAACGAGAAGGTTGAGTCATTAAACATTGATCAACTTAGTTACAAGAGATCACCCATTTTCTCATTAATATAAACAGCTTACAACTTGGTGCCCATGTTGACGTGGACGGCCTTGACCTGCGAGTACGCGTCCAAGCCAGCTTCACCGAGCTCGCGACCGATACCACTCTGCTTGACACCACCGAACGGCACGCGGAAGTCACTGTCATTGCTGCTGTTGATCCAGACCATGCCGGCCTCGATATCGGAGGCAACACGGTGGGCGCGCTCAATATCCCGAGTGAACACTGCGGCGCCAAGGCCGTATGTGGTATCGTTAGCACGGGTGACAGCCTCGTCCTCGGTGGAGAAGCTGGCGATAGCAACGAACGGACCGAACACCTCCTCGCGGTAGATGCGCATCGAGTCCTTGACGTTGGTGAAGATCGTAGGCTCAATGAAGAAGCCACGGCCATCACCAACATTCTTGTGTGGCACGCCGCCGGAAGCGAGGGTCGCGCCCTCGGCCTTGCCGGCCTCGATATATTCAAGCACACGCTCGTACTGGGCCTTGGTCACCTGAGGGCCCTGGAAGGTGTCGTCGGAGAAGGGGTCGCCGACCTTGCTGGTGGTGCGGACAACCTCCTTAAAGAGCTCAACAAACTTGTCGTATACAGATTCGTGCACAAGGATACGCGATGTCGCAGTGCAGACCTGACCCTGGTTGTACATGATGCCAATGTGTGCCCACTTGGCGGCCTGCTCGAGGTCCGCATCCTGGAAGACAACCAGTGGCGACTTGCCGCCAGTCTCGAGGGTGACATTCTTGAGGGTGCCTGCGGCCATCTTCATGATCTCACGGCCGGTGAGGGTGGAACCAGTGAATGCGACCTTGTCGACGCCGGGGTGGTTCACCAACGCACCACCAGCAACACGGCCATGGCCGTTCACAATGTTAATAACACCCGGGGGGAAACCGGCCTCCTTAATAAGACCAGCCAGGTACAAAATGCTAAGCGGGGTTTGCTCGGCGGGCTTAAGGACGACGGTGTTACCGCACGCAAGCGCAGGACCCAACTTCCATGCTGCCATAGCCAGAGGGAAGTTCCAAGGAATAATCTGGCCAACAACACCGATAGGCTGGCGGAGGGTGTATGCGAATTTGGCTGGGGTGGTACCAATGGTCTGACCGTACACCTTGTCGGCCCAGCCGGCATAGTAGCGAAGAGTGTTGGTGACTTCACCGATATCGTCATTCAAAGAGACCTGATACGGCTTGCCTAGAAGATGTGTTAGTTCCTATCTCCGTTGATACTCAACCATCTCCCATGTTACTCGCCATTATCCCACGTCTCAATGGTGGCCAGTGTCTCTTTATGCTGCTCAATCAAGTCGGCCAACTTGAGCATCAAGTGACCACGATCAGTAGCCGGCAGTAGCTTCCAGGAGGGATCCTTGAGAGCCTTGCGAGCGGCCTTAACGGCGATATCAACATCCTCCTCACCAGCAGCATATACTGACGTAATCTCGGTTTCATCGCTGCAGATCCGGTCAGCTCCTCAAAGTCCACACAAGACACTTCAGATGTACATACGAAGGGTTCACAGTGGAAAGCTTCTCGCCAGACTTAGCAGCCACGAACTCATTGTTGATGAAGAGGCCGATGGGCTGGGTGTAGCTGCGCCCATTCGGGGCAGTTAATTGCACGGAGATGTCGGACATAACGAAAGGGGAGCTGTGGAATGTGCGGCGCGAGGTGATGAAGCGGGTGAGATTCGATGGAGCTTTGTACCAACTGCGCAGATGAATACTGAACATGGAGAGAGAGAAGAATGATATAGGAGGGGAAGCCCTGGAAAGTTACAACTGACCCAAAGAGCTCCCCTCCTGATAAGCCGATAAAGATGCTCCACTCTCCGGATAGACTTACTCTTCCGAGTCAATATTTCTCCATTCTCGGTCTGTTTGCTTGATTTGCATTCATATTCTTCTCTGGTTGGCTGAGTAGTCCGTATTCGGCGTTGGAGATTCCCCTCCCTTCTTGAAGCACGCCCATAGCCCGAGGTCCAATTTATTCACTCTGACGCCTAAGGCACTCCAGCGCCGCTTTTTGCTCACTGAGTAAAACTGGGCACGCCCCTGGTCCGCTCACTGAGTATTACAAAATCACACTGATCCACTCGCTGAGCATCACCTGATAGTCACCTGAGCACCCTGATCCATTCCCTAAGCTGATCGTAGGTATAAGCGGCCTCAGTAAGCTATATTAAAAAAATTCAACGCCCTAGTTGCATCACGTGTGATTTCTCTCTAGATCACCCCCATTGTCCCATCAAAAAAAGGATTGTCGTCGTTAATGGGACCGGTTCCTGGATATTACCCAATCAGGCTAGTGTCGATTTTAAAAGTAAGTCGCTGGACGAGGTGACCTCACCTTCTCCACTTTTCTTGCCCCGCATCACTTGCTATAGACTATTGACCTAACCTGTCATATTCTCAAGCGATCAGCATGGGGGGAAAAAGCCAACCAAGCACAACCCCCCCTCACTACAAGATGATACCACGAATCAAATGATACCTCCCACCTCTACTTCTTCATCACCATCTCGAAGCAACCCGAAACGGCGTCGACTGAACCCTCCAGATCCCAAATCACCGAGAACGCGGTCGGAAAAACGAGCACAACAGGAACAAGATCCTGAAATTCCTAGTTCCGGCCGCCAACACACCCGAGCCCAGTCGCTCTACTCCCATTCCGCAGAGCCATCGGAGATTGAGCAAAAGAGCACTCTTGAGAGCGCCAACCTCAGAATCATCAATTACACACCTCAGAACCGTGGAAATCATGAGAACCTTGTACAGAGGTCATTACAGGTGTTCCTTGATCGCCTCCCGGATGCCAGCCGGAGTGCCATTGCGAAGGATATTATCCGCCTAGAAGACGACAATGGCATCTATAGATACTTTCGCAACCTGTACTCCGGTCTAAGAACACGGAGTGAGTTCTCATGGACAAGTTCAAAGAAGCTCTGGCTAGCAAGCTCACTGGGAATAGTGCGATCTCGATCCAAGCCGCCTTCGGTCTCAAGTTCCCCGACTGAGCGGATTTTGACAACTTTGCACCAGCCTATGCCCCGTATAAAGGAATTCAAAGAAGGATTGCTTCAACGCGATGGATACCACTGGGTCGTGACTGGGGACATGGACTGTAATCACTGGGAAAGTCTCGATTGTCCGTCCGCAAGACATTACGAATATGAGCACAACAGAAGCGGCGCACACCATCCCCTTTTCGTATGCAGTCTAGGATTCTAGACGGGTATGCTATGGGATCCTCATTAAGATCAGAATACTAACGGGCTCAAGAACAACCTCTTATCAGATGTATCGCGAACATAGGAGGCTCTCTGGCGCTGTTTCCCTAGTATTAGGGCTATCAACTTCAACCACGAGAACATCAATAGTCTATGCAATGATCTTACGCTTACGAACTGGGTTCATGAACGCTTTGGCGCATTCCGAATCGCCTTTGAATGCACCGTGAGTACGCTCCCACTTGTGGAATTTGCTTGATGTCGCCCCGCTAACCAAAATTTCGAAGGATGTCGAGAACAAATACAAAGTCCACACATTCAAAGGGATCGGCAATAAGTACAAGGCGCTCCTTCCGCCGGAGGTTCGTTTCATAAGCAATGATACGGGATCGAAGTTTGCCAAGTCCTATCCTGCTCGATTGTCACTTCCGGGTGGCCAAGATCCTGAATGCGTCTGGAATGGCAGCAGCATTTGACTTTGACTTTGACAAGTTGGAACTAAAGGTCAGGGCGGGTGATCAGCTACCTGGGGATGGTGATATTGATATTGGTCAAGCTTTGTGTGTCAGTCTTGAACTATATGGTTATGATATTGGGTGAAGGGGGGTTCAATAACGATCACTCGGTAATTTTACCCAAGGTCTCTTTATCGGAGGCCAAAATAGCCTGGTTGACTCAGTTAGTTAAGAGGACTCCGAGAGGTCTCTGAGTAATCAGTGAGCGTCCAATCAGACTCACTGAACGCTCACTGAGCGTTCATTGGACCTTACTGATTAATCACGTGACTGATCAGTAGCTCACTGGGTCTGAGCCCGGACTGAAATCTACTCAGTGAGCCTGACTCTGAGCGCCCTCATAAAAGCAGCGGCAGCTAAGATGGGAAAGCCCCACCCGACAGAGGAATTCAAGTACGTATAGCTACATACATAGCGTCAAACACGTCGAATATTTCATTGCCGCTAGCTGCCGGATGCTCAAGCCGTGTTTCCGTGACTCCTTGCATGTCGCATGCAGGGTCCGGCGGGCGTTTCCATGGTTGAGACAAATTCTGACACAGCTCGTCCCGGCGGTGGAGCTAACGGTCGCATATATTGGAAACGCGGTAGACTGGACAACTTGGCGCACATGTGTGAGGACCCGATGCAGTGACAACAGTGACACCATCCCGTGCCTTGTCAGGGCATTCGTAGTGTCATGCCGAAACCAGGGTGTATGTAACATCTCGGTCATATGCAATCGGCTCATATGGCAATGGCATGGCTGCAGTTGCAAATGAATCCAAAATAATCGCCTGATCTGATGAGTTTATACCTTGCACATATTTCTAGAGGACACATCAAGTCAAGTAAAATATACTTCAATTCGCTTGTGCAGATAACCCATGCTCAATCGGTAACGCCATCGATAGAAATGCTTCGGAGAATTATATGGAATAAAACTCCCTGTGCATCGCTTGAATGTAGCGGTTTGTTTTCTCATGCTTTTTCCTCCTCGGTACTGGACTCCTTCTTGGTGAACTCCTCTTGTGGTTCCTCGCCTGCCAGCTCCAGTATGTATTTCCATTGTGCTGGAGTTACAGAAGACACGCTAAGTCGGGATTGCTTAATCATTTGAAGATTCTCGAGCGGCTTTCCGGTCTGGCCATGAGACTTCAGGTCCTGGAGTGTGACTTGCTTCTCAAGTTTGCGGCGATATTCAACATGGACGACAACCCACCTTGGGTCATCTCGCTTGGACTTCGGGTCGTAGTATGGGTGCTTGGTATCGAAAGCGGACTCTGTCATAAACTATGGATCAGCAATCTGACCAAGCAGTGTAGTTTCGAGGGCAACAAACCATCCGTGGAATGCTCCTGAACAATCTCCATCACTCCCACAACCCCAGGTACTTTACAGTTTGAATGGTAGAAGAATGCAAAGTCTCCCTTCTTCATATCGCGCATGAGGTTTTTTGCTAGTTCACAGTGAGTATAAATCTTGCGGCCATAGCTACCATGGCTTCGAACAGGACACATACCGACGTGGTTGCGCACACCTGTTCAAGTATTAGCAACAGTTCACACATGCAGTATGCGAGATAGATTGAACGTACCGTCCCAAGGCTCGGGTACATCTGCAGCAGCTAGGTCATCAATAGAGAATTTCACATCCTTGCCCTTCTCTAGGCGAGATTCGGGCTCGGCCTTCATCAACCAGAAAGAGCGGCCAGTTTCAGGGATGACATCGACTGCAGGCTTGACCTTCGACTCAGTGGTTTCAGCTTCTCCATTTGGCACAGGATTCTTGCGCGGTCTTCCACGACCATCCTTCTTCTTGGTCGTCGGTGTAACGGGTATCGCATCGCCTAATAACAGAGTGTAAGGTCAGCACATACCACCCACAATATATCAGTATATTCCCCATACCTGAGTCCTTACGGGGACGCCCACGGCCTCTCTTGGGGCCCGCTGGAGCTATAACCTCAGTTTCTGTCTCGGAAACAATCTTCCGTGGGCGACCACGGCCACGCTTAGGGGCGTCAGATGCAGGCTTAGGAGTCGAGCTCTCGGGGTATTTGCGCGGGCGGCCACGACCTCTCTTTTCGCCTGTCTGGGGTGTAGCATCGACCTGTACCAGGATGTCAGCTCTGTGCCAACGGTTCCAACGGTTGGAGTGGAGAAGCTAGGAACGCGACGATCAGCCCCTGCATGATGCACTTACCACCGAAGCTGATTCTGCAGAAGCTGGGGTTGCATCTACAGTATTTCGAAGCCTTTTGGAAGGCGTTTCGACAGACTCGTTTGCGCTCACAGCGCGTTCAGACTTGCGCTTGAGTGGCATGACTGTTCAATTGTTTTGCGCTGGTTGAGTAAAACTGAAAAGAAACAGATATATGCAGGAAATGTAGTAAGTGAATGCAAGAAAACTAAATAGAAACTGTACAATCAATGGGGTTGTGCTCCCGTGAACTGTTGAAGAAGCTATAGCAAGTTAAGCATAGCTTCCTGGAATGTTTGGCACTGAGCTTGACGCGGATGTGGGTCTGGGGTCACACGTGATGGGGTCGATCATGATCGGCACTAAAATCAAACCAAATATGTACACAGCTCTCCAGATAAATAATCTTGAGAGTTACAAGTATATTTATCATTATCCTCTCAAAGCCCCTTCACTTCCTCCCAAAACGAATGATTATCGATGTTTGAGGCATAATTGGTACACTTGGGTCTTTCCACCAGAGACACAAATGATAGTACTCACTGTCTCTTTTGTGTGGCTATTAAAGGCCAAGCTATCTGGTAATATTCTCTCTTGATAAAAGTCAATGTGAAAATGATGGCAATGACCTTGATTGGAGACATACATGATAATGATGAAAATTATCTCAATTATTCGGAGAATATGCTGCACATATTCTGATTAGCGAGGGAGATAAATAGTCTGCCTACATACTCTAGGCAAGTGACTTGTGTTGAATATCGTGTCTGAAAGTAGTGCCGTTCTCACCAAGGACAGCTGAAGCTTAGATATACCTGTCTTACGAATCAATCAAACATCCAAGATTATACAACTGAGAAATAGAAGTGAATAATGTCGAGAAGAGTAATTGGTCAGAGCAACCTCAAAATGTGTCAGGGCAATCGAAATAGTGTTGATTAAGCTCATCATAGGCCCATTCGCATAGACTCGATTGTAATAGCCTCGCCATCATTGGCATCTTGTTTGGTTCATTATTCAAGTCAAGTCTTTGCCAGTCAAAATACTCTTCGGGATGCTCTAAGGCGCTTCTCGCTGATGCCATAGTGTGAAGGTAGTATTCTACATAGAGGTAGCAGTACACATATGTATTTTCAAATGTACATCGTACGATTTGTGTGTGGCACAATCAATTTTAACTGAGAAGCTGGAGCCAAAGATGTGGCTATGGCTATCATGACGGTATCTGAAGCTACCACTATAGTGTGTATAGCGGCTCGTCCTGACCTGAGAAACGCACGCAGCTTGACCTGTCACTTTTTCTGGCTGTGCTGTAATCAATCCGGTCTTCTCATCAAGAAAAAGGCACCGAGGTATCCATGATGTATACGTTGTTGGATTGAGGCACTCTACTATCCGGTCTCAGGATAACAACCAGCAAATCAAAATCATGAAAGACTCAATATGTGCAAGGTGTCTACCATGGCGTGATTCCGGGTTGGGATATATCTCCACCTGCGGGCAAATAGTGTGTTATTAAATTTTATCAGATCAGCAATATTGTTTGTGTTTGTGGACACATCATGCTAAAGCTATATTTAGGGACCCTCATAGTCGGCCACTTTCAAGTTTGTTTGGCCGCGTTATCTGAATTCCCCTGGAGTCAGCTGACATGGCTTTGATCAGCACCAATGGGAACCTAAAATGATGGCGCAATATCACCTGTACATGATGAATGGTCTATCAGTTATCATTGCTAACCTACCATGAGCCTTAGTACAATATACCTTGTATATCAAGTCAAGATGGCGCTGGCACGTTCGAATATTGGGAATCTGGCTACTTCCTCTAGCATTTTCCATTCTGTGGGAATCGAGAAATTTATCTTATAGCACCATGAACATAACTATAATCAGTGTAAATATGTACCTAATCAGACCCACCCATGGGATAGATAAGTTGTTAAAGATTATGGCAAAGTCATTTCGCAAGAATTGCGTTTTTCATCATTTCCTGTTTGGGTATATAGTTCACTTGCATTGTAGACCAATGGCTAGAAGGAAAAGGACATGGAAAAAAAAGGTAGAAACAGAGAGACAGATAGATCGTAGTACATAGTGCTGTATCATATGGGGCAAAATCGACCACCTACAATAAAGAGCTTGTAGATGTTACAACATAGGTTCATTCTAACTAACATAAGGTTGAGGGGTAAGGTTGAGGGGTAAAAAGAAACCCAAGGAACTCGGAATGCTCATCCACAGTTGATATTGCATCACGCACGCTAAACAGCCCACGTTATGTGCTACGGTCTCTTGACCAATCATGGACATTCTGCCGGGCGGAAATAATGATCACGCCATCAATCATGAATGCCAGGTGGGGGAGGAACTAGCTATATTAGGTTAGGTGGGGTCAATCTATGGATGATCTATGGAAAGCCGAGGGGTTTCAATCATCTTATTAACCGTCTATCCCGCCAACTTCTACTTCTCTTCCTTTCTCTTTCTCATATACAAGATACTTCTCTGTCTATCTATTCACAATGGCTGACCACGCTGCTCCGTAAGCTCATGACTCTATATTTGAGGTTTCTATACAATACTGACGTCTGGTAGCCTCCGTCTGGGCTCCGTTGCCCCCAATTTCAAGGCTCTCACCACCCAAGGCGAGATCGACTTCCACGAGTTTATTGGTGACAAGTGGGCCATTCTCTTCTCACACCCTGCGGATTTTACACCAGTGTCAGTGGTTCCAGCCCCACTTCAGCTCCCTGCGAATCCTTTTACTGAGACTTAATAGTTGCACCACTGAGCTCGGCGCCTTCTCCAAGCTCGAGCCCGAGTTCACCCAGCGTGGTGTCAAGTTGATTGGATTGGTAAGTCCCTGGAATTGACCACCTCCAAGTCTTTTCTAATATCCCCGTCTCTCTAGAGTGCCAATGCACTCGATTCCCACGAGGAGTGGATCAAGGACATCAACGAAGTCAACTCAACCCAACTCAAATTCCCAATCATCGCCGATGCCGACCGCAAAATTGCTTTCCTCTACGATATGATCGACCAGCAAGATTTGGAGAATGTGGATAGCAAGGGCATCGCCTTCACTATTCGCTCCGTCTTCATCATTGACCCCTCCAAGAAGATCCGCCTGATCATGGCCTACCCCGCGTCCACTGGCCGTAACACAGCAGAGGTTCTCCGGGTTGTCGACTCTCTCCAGACTGGTGATAAGAGAGGTGTAACCACCCCCATCAATTGGCAGGTATGATATCCCTTCCTCGGCGGCCCAGGGCCTGAAACTATGCGAAGTATCATACTGACTCAATCACAGGCGGGCGACGACGTTATTGTGCCACCGACTGTTAGCACCGAGGATGCTAAGAAGAAGTTTGGCGAGATTCGTGAAGTGAAGCCGTGAGTTGTCCTTGCCTAACTGCCAATCTAAAATAGAGGATACTAACATGCTATAGTTACCTTCGCTTCACCACTCTTAAGGAGTAAACGGTGTCTGTGTCTCATGATGTGATGCAATAAAGATAAAACATTTCTAATGAAACCTACTCACCCTATTTATTTTTCTTTAATTATGTAAGGAATTTGCTTATGACACTATGTCATGGAGCTTCCGTAGCATATGCAATTTGTAGACATTTCTTCAAAATAACGTGCATATCAGACTCCAACTCGAATCAAATCATTCAAGTGGTTATACGATACCCAGTCCTCACCAAGCGTCCCTACCCCATTCGGGTGTATAGTTACCACATCTCAATACAAGCACTTGCTCAATGCAAATGCGAATTGTCATGTCTTTTTGATAGTCTTCTTGCACTCCTTTTGGTAGTCTTCTCGCGGAATACAATGTGGGAGATCATAACCTTTAGGAGTCTACAGTCTTCCGAAGTGCCATATGCATGCTAGTTGTTGTCCCCTGACAAACCCATTACCGAGCGTGGATCATACCAGCCAATTGATCATGCGTAGTGGTGTCACCCCTAGTGAGGACGGCGTCGAAGTGGAGGCACAAAGAACAGTTAGTATATACGACGGTAAGTCGTTTTCACATCAATCCCACGCATTCATATATACATTCTTGGCTGGTTAAGCATGTCAGGTGTCTGTTACCTTGGCCTCTACCACTCCCCTAGTCGTGTTTGTCCCCCGGGAAAGCTGCGCAAGGGGTCGACGCGAGCGCAGTTCCAGGGCACGGTTTAATTCTGATCTCCGGACTTAGTTCCTTTCCTTTTTACCTTGAATGGCGGCCGCGGTCTATTTTTCCAGCGAGCAAATGAAGATTAGATTCAACTCCATATTTTTAACAGTGTTGAAGTGAATTTCATTGACGAGTGCCTTAAACAGGATCCTCTTTCAAAAACTATAGATAGGATCGAGGATTTTCTCATTCAAAAAATATATATATAAAATTCAACCTGATCTTTTGAAGGCTATTGGAGGGGCCACATGTATTAGAAGAAAAGCGGTAAACATTTTTTGTGCCGATCTCCAAACTCGACGGCTGACACTTTGGACAGGACTGTGCGCTCATCCTAGATACGAACGGCAGTAGTTTGCACGTCTAGTTTTTGTTCATCAATCCGAAGTTGCGGCGTCGCGGGGAACCACCCCCTTTTTCGGCCCCCCACAAACGACCCTTTCGAGCCATACCACACCTACGATCAGCGCTGGGAATATTCTCCGAGAATAACGCATTCGAGACTAGACGCCTCGTCGCATGCGAGCGATACTGGGTGAACTGAAATAGGGGGTCAACGGCTACCGACACGATCGTCTCCGTTGAAAGCGGACAGGAAAGTCGCCCGCCATGATGTCGCGAAGTCAGTCGAGTCTGGGGTATATGGATACAGGGCGAGAGGATTCTGCGCCGGGGGCCTCTCCGTCTCTGAACCAGCAGTCTACCTCTGGGCCTATCAACCTCTCCGGTCTGGTGTGCAACGTGCGGCGAACGACCGGCAAGGAACCCCGTCCTCTTGTCGGTGCCACTACGACCATACTAGGGGATAAGCTATACGTGTTCGGAGGCCGGATCCTCTCGCGCAGCCGTCCCCAACTAACCTCCGACCTTTACGAATTGGATTTGATTCGACGACATTGGACGAGAATCGAGCCCGCTGGAGATGTTCCACCGCCGCGGTACTTCCACAGTGTGTGTGCTTTGGGGGATAACAAGTTGGTCTGTTATGGAGGCATGTCACCCGCACCGAGTACACCAAATGACCCCGAGAACCCCGCAGAACCGCAATCGCAGTCACAATCGGAAGTCGTGGTGATGTCGGATATTCACATCTTCGATGTACCATCGCGGGCATGGACCCGTGTTGCTGCCCATGAATCTCCTCAGGGGCGGTATGCACACTGTGCTACGATACTGCCGTCGAGTGCTTGCTTCACATCTGCCAGTGCACCACTATCCGCTATCCACAATAACCCTGAATCATCCACTCATCAAGGTACGCTTGGCGTGGATATTGACGGCTTCGGAGGTGCAGAGATGGTGGTGGTCGGAGGCCAGGATAGTTCCAATCATTACATCGAACAAATCAGTGTCTTTAACCTGCGGAGTCTCAAATGGACCAACACTAGCCCCCTGGGAAGGAGCTGCGGCGCTTATCGCAGTGTTGTAGCTCCTCTGGTGGGAATGGATGTGTCCGAAATTGGATCCTCAGCCCCAGATCGCGATCAACACGAGCCGATTCAAGATAGCACTGAATCCCCAGGTTGCCCTATGCTGATATACTCCAACTACAATTTCCTTGATGTCAAGCTGGAGCTGCAGGTGCGCCTACCGGACGGACGCCTTGTCGAACGACCGATGCAGAGCCAAGCATCTCCTCCAGGACTGCGCTTCCCGAATGGTGGCATTATCAACGGCCACTTCGTTGTTAGCGGTACCTATCTGACTTCATCAAAGCAAGAATATGCGCTGTGGGCTCTCGATCTGAAGACATTGACTTGGGGGCGTATTGATGCCGGAGGATCAGTATTTGGACAGGGTAGTTGGAACCGAGGAGTACTTTGGCCTCGCCGTAATTCTTTTGTGATTCTTGGACACCGGAAACGAAGCCTTGTCGATGATTACAACCACCGGCGAATCAACTTCTCGCACATCTGTCTGGTCGAGCTGGAGGCATTTGGACTCTACAACAATCCTTGCCGCACTTCTCCGACCTCGGGATATAAGTCTTATAGCTCATCTTCTGTTCCAGCATCTCTGCAGAAGAAGTTAGCGCAGTTGACATCAGGTGGCCGGCCATTGTCTGCCGCATCCGATGAGCTAGGCAAGCTTGCGCAATCTTTGCCAGAGATGGCCGATATGGAGTTGCAGGCTGTGGGAGGAGAACGTATCTCCGTCAACTCCCGCGTCTTGAGTCGGCGCTGGGGCCCTTACTTTATCCAACTACTCCGTGAGTCGTCAGATGGAGGTATTGCAGACATCGGAACTCTTCGTCCGGCCCAGATGCACCCGAGCCGCAACTCGAGTATCACCATCACTCCCTCGATAGGGTCCGATGCAACAACTCTTGTCAACCACTCCGTACCTTCGAAATCTCTGCTGGAGAACCTCGAAGTTCCGTCTGCTCACAGCCTCGCTCCAACCTCCCGACCGCGTGTGCTGTACCTCCCCCATACTATTTTGACTCTCCAGGTGCTGGTTCAATACCTCTACACGTCAGCACTTCCATCTGCAGGCACCTCGCTTTGCACACCACAAATTCTCTGCTCGCTTCTACAGCTTGCACGCCCATACCAGATCGACGGACTACTAGAAGCCACTGTCGAAAGACTCCATCGAGTCCTCGATGGGCGCAACGCCGCCGCTGTATTCAACGCAGCTGCTATGGCTGCTGGGGGTGGCCGTGGTACTGGATTCAATGGTGGACCAGGAGGTACACTCGAGGCTCTGAACGGAGCTTATACCGGCAACAACGGCACTGCGCCCACGATTGGCGAGAACAGTAACTCCCAACACGGTGCACTCACATCAGACTCGTCTGACACAGAGCACGGTGCTGCCTCCGCATCTGTAGCGAGCAGCACTGGCGATCTCGCCAACTTGGCACGAGGTATTCCATCTCTCCGCATCGACACCAGTGTCTCTCAACATTCACGCCAGCGCGCCCACCGCGACCGCGAGGATTCCATTAGTAACCCAAGCACGGCGACATCCGCGTCCAGTGCTAGTTTCAGCCAGTCCGACTCCGAATGGGTCAGCGGCGATGAAAGCCGCTCGCAGTCTCGCTCGCAGTCCCGTTCTACCCATCACCGCCGTGATACAGACGCCGAATTGCGTCGCCCCCAACGTGAGCTCTGGACTGGTGATCTAAGCAGTGTTATCGGTCTCCAGAAGCGCGGCTTGCGCGGTCTCATGGAGGGCCGTCGCATGCGCGAGCGTAGTTCGAAGCCCGCCAGCACTGGCAGTGGCTCGATGTCTATGCCGCCATCAGCTGGCTCAGGCGAACACCACATTCCCTTCCAAGGCATCGCCAGTTGATGGTTGCCTGGAGCTAATTTCGCTTGCTGTGATACCTGTATGATCTCTTTTCCTCCGCCTTATTCTTTTGGTACTTAGTTTTTTAGATGATTTCTTCCAGATACCGTATTTGGATCATACATCTTTCTTTTCTTCTTGCTTTTCACCCCAGCAGGCTGGCAATGTGGGATGGATTTAGGAGAGGGCTTCCAAAATTGGGATGCATCTGGATGTTGTACCTTTCTTCTGTTTATGTTAGTTGGGTTGGGTAGGTTGCTCTCGCCTACGCACAGCCATGGATATATACTGAGACTTCGGGCGTTGGACCTTACATGTATGCAATGAAATGCATTAAAACCTGATAAGCGATTTTCTTTTTCCTAAACAGACTACCTTGGATAGAGATGAGAAGACACATTCTTTTGGAACTTCTAATTTACAGTTGAAAAGCCTCTCAAGCATCACCCTGACCCTGGTTTATATCGTACATACGTATAATTCTGCTTTCAAAAGAATAAAAAAAAGAGGAGCACATCAGTCCTTCTTTGCCAGATCTCCAAGCCGCTTGGCACTCTTGCCACCATAGACTAAAGGAACATAAGTTAGTTGTACAACCCAAGCCTGTATATACAATCAAAAAGAAGGTTGAGATTGCCTGGGTATTGAAGAAACTCACTTCGCTCATAAAGAACCCACGATGTGTACATTAAAATGGGTAGTCCGACAATAGTCGTTGTCCATCTAGAATAAAGGATTAGTTCTCATTGTTGTCACGTATCATTCGCCAGCTAAAAGCAAAAACAACACACTGAAGCAAAATGGAAGAAAGAGGAAGATGGCACATACCTCCGTGCAGCAGCCTTGTACTCCTTTGTCTGCCGAATATCATCCACCCCTTTGGGGAGCCGCGGAGAAGCGGGTTGCCGGACAGGGCGTGAAGGCCGGGTTTGGGGGTCCACGGATCGGTATCTGTGCTGGTCTTTGGGGGCTGCCATTATTCTTGGCTTTTGTTAGATATATCTGAGCATAAAGGAAATTGTAGGGGCGTCTTTACATGTTTTGGTCGGTGTATTGGAGGATGTGAATTCTGTGGAAGAAGATTCGGAGAGGTGTTGGCGCCTGAGGCATCACTATAACTACGTTTAACCATCTCCAATAGGAAGAGTAAGTTATAAGATCTGTACTACAACCACTTATTATGAGGCGGATAGATAATGTAATAGTGTGAGCTGATGAGGTTCAAATGCTAAGAATCGGAGGTCCTTTTGATTGTGACTTACTAGGTTCACATGCCTCTCATCATTGCGGTAAGAAAGACCATCTCCCTTATCGTAGCTGAAGTCTGATTTCTTGTCAGACACCCAGTAGCCATAATGAGGAGTAGTCACAGGATGGTAGCTCAGGAAGCAAATCATGATCCATACGAATAGTACCTGTGTCGCGTAGAAAAGCACAAGCCATAGAACGTATCCCGAGCGCCAGACTCGGGATGAGAGGGGGCTTTTCGCTTTTTGTAGGAGTTGGTGGTCCACCTCAGGCGTAGGGTCGGCTGGTTGACCGGATGCCATATTGGAGATGGCGGGGGATCAGTTTGGGACAGGGAAAGAGGCTCTCTTTAATGTAACCCTGATTTTGATGTAGGAAACGTCAAGATTGGCTTAGGGCGAGGGCAATAGGGATGAGGACTCCTCATCCATATTGCCATTTCGTTTAGAATCTTTTCCACTCGATGTGTCGTCAAGTCTTTGTGTTTTTCCAAAACAAAGGTGCCATATCATGGATAGAAATGGCAAAGAAGACATAATAGAATGTTTATTTTAACACCAAGTGTATAAAACCTCGTATAACTGTGGTCGTTCGCTAGTTTAGTTGACTACATTCGAACTATCAAACCGATGCGACACGCCATTCTTATAATCACCCTGAGAGTGAGTTCTCAACCAAAGTGTGTAGATCATAGGTATCACAATTATCACCAGTATAGAATGCCATTATCATCGCCCAAAGTAAACTTGTCTGAGATGTAAGCCAAGAGTGAGAAGAAAGTTAGTGAGATGTGAGGGCTATCCGCACGACATATCAGATTTACCAGGGCTACTTTCCAAGGAGACTACGAGGGGGAAAGGTTACAAAATAAATCAATACGAATGCACAACAAAGACAACTGAAAAATCTCACAATTCACCATGGTCAACTCCATGGAATGCTCCCGCGGTGCTAATCATACACGCTTGAAACGCTCGCTGTTAATGATACAAAAAAAATTATAAAATAAAATAAGAGTAAAACAAAGAAAAAGCGACCGAATTCTGATAATCATCGGCCGGCTTACGCCAGGCGGAAAACACCCTCGGTCTGCCCTCACTGGGGCTTCACACGCCCCGACGGCGGTGGCGCTTGTTGGTTGGTGCGGGGGACGGCGCACGTGAGGGGACGCGGGAGGAAGGGGACTGCACGGCGGGGGCTTGCTTGGAAGCAGAGGCCTTATTACCGGAGGTCTCAGTCTTGGGCGCCGGCTTCAAGGTCAACCGGAGCCGCTGCACCTTAGGCTTGTCGCCTTCGGTGGCAGCGGGAGTGACGGAAGCGGCCGGGCCCGAAGACTGGACCTTTGTCGCAGTGGTCGGAGGAGAAGTAGGAGAGGTGGGAGAGGTAGGAGAAAGGATAGCGGTGGGAGAGGTAGGAGAAAGGATAGCGGTGGCAGGAGCGGTCTGGCGACGGCGACGCTGTGACTTGCGTCCACCGGTCTCGGCAGCAGTGGTAGAAGCAGCTGCAGCGGGCTCATCTGCGGCATCTGCGGCCGCGGTTTGACGGCGCTTTCGAGCGCGGGGCTTCTTGGCCGCAGGGGCTGGCGCAGGGGCACGAGCAAGAGCCCTGGCCTTCTCCTCCTCCACGTTTTCAGTGACGAAGGGGGACATCGCTTCGGATGGGAGATTACGGTCACCCATGAGTGGAGCGAAGCTGTGAGAGATATCGGCCTCAGCTTGCTGGCTGGTTCTGGCACGCACCGGGGGGAAAGGAAGACCCTCATAGCCGTAAGTATGGGCTGGATAATAAGGGTGGTATTTGTCGGGGATCAGAGTGACCTCTTCGCCGCTGGAGTTGACGTAGCCAGTCTGAATCCAGCCATCGCTGCTGACCTTGGAGTCAGACTGCTTTTTGTAGCTCAGGATGCTTGAGCCGTCGGTGACTGCGGTGGGTGGGGTAGGAGGGGAAGGAGAGATTGCAGGTGCTGGGAGTTTTTGGTTGATCATATCGATATCCACATCAACATCAACATCGCTCGATGAGGTGGGTTTAGTGGCGGGTGTATCGACGCCATATTTCTCTTCATCTTGGAGACGGAAGTATTCACTTCGCTGTTGCTCCCATAACACGGGGAAATTCAAAGGGAGGGTAAACTCAGGGCTGAGGGCCTGAACAGTCAAGTCATACAGCTTCTTGCCAGCCACCTTCGCGTCAATATCGAAACCGATCAAGATTGCATTCTTTCGCATGTTCAAATTGGACATTCTCTTTGATTTTCTGGTTGTCTTCATAGGTTTCTTGGACACATTGCTCTTCACAACCTTGGTAGCCACGGTAGCCACGGGGGCAGGAGTTTCCTCGGTCGGGGTCGACATAATCGTATTCTTGCGGCGAGGTTTCTTCTTACATGATTCAAAAGATTCAATGGCTCTCATGGTGGGCTTGCGAACCCGGGATGAATTACGCATGTCGGAAGCACTGGTGGGGCTCGAGGGACCGTCAACTGTTCCTTCAGATTCAAAGCTACCCATGTACTGGTCAAAGGTCCAGCTGGGGTTGCCAGTGCTATCTGGAAAATCAATATCTGAGACTGCTGGTTTCGGCGTTTCAAGTGCAGCTGTTCGTCTCGTCCGTCGACTCCCCGGGTTTGTGGCCTGGGCTTCTAGGGCTGGAGTGTGAACAGTTGAAAGACGTGACGGACGAGACTGAAAGGCTCGCCGACGTGAAGATGGTGTTTCTGGAGACGTGCCACGTGAACTAGGACTTGGAACAGGTGGGGTTGGAGTGTAAAAACGAATATTGATAGAATTGTCTGGAGGAGAGGCGGATGTAAGGTTCAACGTTTTGGCGGGCTGAACGCTCTCATTTGTACTTTTTGACGGGGGGGGTACTCGGGGCGAGCGCCGAGATGGTGTCAATGTAGGCGCCTTATTGATGCGCGCAGGCATCGACTTACGCTGGCCCTTCTTGGGAGGCATCGTGAATTAAAGCTAAATGGTCCGGAATTTGTCAGTATAATCTATAAATGCAAATACAATAGGCGGTGAATAGAGCGACTGAACAGTACAGATGGAAGACTAAATAATACCTCCAATAACAGGCAACTAGGGTGTGGGAATAAGAATATATGGGGATCATCAGGTGAAGGGTAGGGTCGACGTCAGAAGACCGCAGTGCGCGGAAAGGGAGAAGTTGGGGATTAGGGCCCGACGTATAGGCGCAGAACTCACGGGATCAGAGGTACACCCATCCGCAGTTAATTTCTAAAGAGTTCATAAACAAGCTGGCAAGGACTAGGCGGGTGTTGAAGTTGTATTTGTGGCAGATAAAGCGAAACAAAGTGACGGAAGATGTTGAGGTCGAGCAGAAAAGAAATTAGGGCTACGGTTGATCGGCGCTTATCGGCTTCACCTGTCCGCCTTATTCTGCAACTCATCTATCCTCGCATCATCTTCCCGAGCTCTCTACAGCTGTTTTCTGTTCTGTTTTCTTTTAGCTCTTTTTTTTTACAATGCATATGTGGCAGGCCACTGTTCCATTTTGCCTGTTGGCCGCGGCTGCCTTGCCCGGCGCCGCCGCCACAGCTTGGGGGTTTACTGATGCCACCGTGGCCGTTCAAGCAAAAGGTGCTGGTGTCAATGGAGGTTTCAAGGAACAGTATGCATTTTGGCCCAAATAGAGATACATGGACCTAATCAACATATTCATAATAGATTTGTTGCCTCCAAGCCGCTCTCCAAGCCCATCTCCCTTTTCGGTACCGATACCCTACGCGTCACCTTGACAGCCCAGGAAGACAGCTCCCCAAAGCGGCCAGATCAAGCTTTCCTTTTGCTCAAGGATGCTCAGACTGGACTGGATATCTCTTACCCATTTAATGTCAAGGATAATGGAAAGTCAAGGGTGGAATTGGTATGCAACCCCCCAAAATGACTTGCCGCGGCGCAGCTAACACATGCCCTCCAGACTCAGAAAGACCTACCGGTTCAATTCCTTTCCTTATCCGATCCAGTTGATGCGCATATTGTCATTGGTGGGTTTGGAAGTTCCGATGCCTACGACAGCTCTGTGTTCAAGTTGTCGATTGATCGTAACCCCGAAGAGGCTGTGCCGACCGTTGAAACTGAGCGATACGGCAAGAAGCCCGAGATCCACCATATCTTCAAGGAGTCTGCGTCTAGCCCCCCAATTGCCATCACCCTGGCATTTGTCGCCATGGTCGGCGCTGCTATTCCCGTTCTTGCTGGCTTGGTAAGTCGATCTAAATTCTGTCCCAACAACGTTGCTTATAGATTGTCTCTAGTGGCTCTTCCTCGGCGCCAACATCAACCACCTACCCACCGCACTCAAGTCTGCCCCTCTCTCACACACCATCTTCCTCGGATCGTTGTTCGCATTTGAGGGGATTTTCTTCCTCTACTATACCTCGTGGAACTTGTTCCAGATCCTCCCCGTCATGGCTGTTGTCGGTGCGATCGCATTTGTTAGTGGAAGCCGTGCACTGGGTGAAGTGCAGGGCCGGCGCCTTGCTGGTCTCCGGTAAACTCCTGGAACATACGTAAATTTATCTGCCGTGGTCCCGGTGGTCCTCTCACGGTGCCTCCAAACTGCCGTGTGATCAAGTTTCCAGTGGTATTGTATCTTAGCTGCGGTTATTCCCAGTATCTTGTTACAAAATAACAGATTTCCCACTGAAAATTTACAAAAATCTCGCTGATTTTCGAACGTAATCATCTCCCTGCAAATTGTCCATAAAACGTTGGGTTGGAGGCCCCCAGATACGCCCCCGCCACCATTTGCTCCCCTCCGCGTCAAACCCAGTTAAGCATTCAACATGATGTTATTGGATATATTGGACTAGTATTTAGTTGCTCTACCTCATGCGACCGACCTCCCTAGATCCATATTCCCAAGGAATTTGTTTGTTGACTATGTACATATTCCTTTGACGTCACAGGGCAGGTGTTATCGCCACAGACGGTGATACTAGATATCTTACCGCGTTCTTTACCGCCTACTCAGGATGGTATCTAGTTAGTTACCTTAGTTCTACGTAATCCTGCCTTGGGTATCAGGCCTTGATCTCGACCAACACTTTATTAAAAGAGGGCTTGTTCAGTATCCTTGAGCATTTGTACCATTTCTGCTTCCTTTTGACCCATTAAAAAGGTACTAGCTCATATGACCCGTATACTCCGGTGTATAGAAGCCAAGAAACTGTTCTGCTGGCAAAACACTCGAGCGTTGACGGGTTGCATGGGCTGTACGATAAGATCGAATGCCAAGACGACTTCGGGACCTCCGCTGAAAGCTCCGCAAAAAG